GTTGACTGATCAAGAACAGATGGCCTCTGAACACCGACGTAATAAAATAAAATATCAGAACTATTCAACAAAAAACAGAAGAGAAAAAAAAAGAAGACTTGCAAGGGTGGGGTTGGACGTAGAAAGTTGACTAACCAAGAACTGTTGGCCTCTGATCAGCGACGTAAAGAAGTAAAATATCAGATTACAGGAAGCGCTCCGAAAGGATTAGTAGTCGTTGTCGTCAAAAAATGACGTCATCAACAATATAACCTTATATTTGTTTATACACGGGGGTTAGTTTAGCGTCTTACTCAAGATTTTAAAACGCAAAAAACCCACTTCGGGGGGTTGGTCAAGTGTTTAAACCCCCCATGGGGTGGTTAGTTTAGTTTCTTACTCAGGGGTTAAAACACTTGAATGAGGCACTAAACTAACTCCCCTTCGGGACTAACCAAGGTTGGTTGCGTTTTACAAACTTGACACACACCCCCCTAGGAGCTCCGAAAGGAGCGCCCTGCTCTAGTTATGAAAAAATGGTGTATTGCATGTCATGTGTATATGAGCCCACAAGGTGACAACAAAGTCGAGTTGTATTTGTACAGAAATACAACGTAAGAAAATTTTCATGGATGAAGGGCAGCAGGAACGGCTATCACCATTTGCAGGTTTTGTGTCAGAAAATTCACAGCAAGTGTATAAGCTAGGAATGACAATAAACACGCGTTCCGCTTGTGGAAAAGACATCCACACACCTCGGCTGTCCACAAAGAACTGGCGCAAGCTACGGACAACGGTTTTAAAATATCAGGATTATTCTCGTACATGTTTGGTTTTTAGCTGTAGGAATGGTCAAGGTCAACGTTGAGCTATTTTCCTTTGACGAAAAGTTGGCTCAGTTTATGTGAATTCTCTGTTTTTCTCGCTGTTGCCACTTTGGAGACGTATGACACTGTACAGGCTGTATTGTCCGATTCACAGTTTTAATTAGACTAAGTAATAATTACTTTAGAAAGAAGCTTGTACATTCCTCTTGCTTGTACGGCACTCACATTTCACTTTCAGGTAATTAACAAACAGCAAAACGCGTAATTCAAAAAGTGCACCCAACCAGTCGTGAGAAGCGAACGTCAGTTATCTTTGTCTTTCTTGGAACCCGAATCGAGTCATCATTGCCCATCACACTTCTTTCGGTTATTTTTAACATCATCTTCCAAGTACTGTCTTTCTTCAGTTTTTCAAATTTTGTATGCATTTCTCTTCTCTGTGTGCTCCTTGACTTGGACCGTAATTATATTCTGTGGAGTAGTCCTATGAAGTACGTAGCTCAGCAGCATGCAGTTTTCTCCATCCT